AGGACTACAGGTGTCTACCATCATGCTTGGCTAACTTTTTAATGTTTTGTAGAGATGGGGTCTCACTCTATTTCCCAGGCTTGTCTTGAACTCTTGGGCTCAAGTGATCCTCCTGCCTTGGCCTCCAAAACTGCTGGGACTACAGGCATGAGCCACTGCACCTGTCCTCTCACTGCTATTATCATCATCACATGCTATTCTATGAAGATGCTGTGTTCTTGTTTCTTTGGACCTCCCAAAGCATTTTGTATTATATAGATCTTTTCACATTTTAACCTTTTGTTGTGACCTTGACACCTTATTCATCTTTTAATCTAAGTACCTGAAATAATACTCATCACACAAAAAATGCCCTCTGTTGAAAGAATCAACAGGCAAAGATGAAATTAGCAACTCAAATGCAGAACTCATTTCACTATAGAATTACTCTGAATGTTTATGCCTGAAACATAGGATTACACTGTGACCTGACATGAAAATATTCCCCAAATTCAAGACATTATTGGATAACGTTTTACTCATTAAAAAGTCACAGCTCTTCTTTGAGCAGCTGATGTTCCCCCACAAACAGTTTTCACCTCCAAATGGAGCGTCTGCTCTGCTCAAGACCACCTGTCCCACTTCTAGCTCCTCCTCCGCCTTTTGTGCAACTTCAAAGCCAAATTCAGAAAGGGACACATGCGAGTTTGTTTCAATGAATAATTTCTTCCTCTAGGGAATTCACTCTTTTTCAGGGGAAAAGGTGGAAGGTCTTTGCAAATTAAGAAGAAAATTATTTACAAAACAGAGCAACTCGTGTCTCTTCACATCACACCATATCCTTTCCAGGACCAGTCTTCCCACTGTCTTGGATGCAGAGCTGAGGCCAGGTGGTCTTGGGATGCAGGGCAGAAGGAAATGCGAAGCTGGGTAACAGTCACACCAATTAGTATGAATTAGATGCCTTAAAACTACTCTACTCGATGCCATTTATCCTTTTTTCTTCTCTGCCCTTCCCCTCCGTGTCTCCTTTCGAGCAATTGCTTGAGCTTCAGAGTTCAGTGTAATAACATACAAACTTGACCACACAATTCACAAAAAAACTAGGTGAACAGGAATTTAAGTCCATAACTCAATGATTGCCCAAGAGCACAAAGAAGACAGGGACGGGGTTTCTCCGAGGACCCAGGCCACTGACCGGCCTGTCTCTCCAGGACCACAAGTTACTAACATCATGAATTAACAGCAGAGACTAAAAAATCCCTTTCTTTTCTTTTTCTTATTTTTTTTTTTTTCTTTCACATCTTGTTTTGGTTCTTTGGTTTCTCTGTCCTCTAACCAAGGATTGTACTGGTCCTTCATGCATAACATTGAACCTCTTTAATCCCCATAAACTATGGACTAGTTATATATGCTACACAGTCTAAGAAAGTGTACACAACTTACAGGATGCATCCTGCAAGTGTTTTAAAACTTGAATGTGGTGGCATGCCTATGAAGCCTCTATACATACACATGCAAGTTCTACACTAGTTCCTGTCCATACTGTTTACATAGAGCAAGGCTGATGCTTTGGGGACAGGTCTTCGTAGAGTGGACTGAAGTGCAGTCACTACACTAGATTGCACTCATTCGCTGGTGCACGGAGCTAAGGGTGAGTTCCAATCTCCATGACTCAATTCCAGCTGTCAGGGAAATAACCATCTGGAGTTACTTTTGTAGGTTGCTTCTTACAGCCCACAAACCTCTGCCACACTGCTTTGCAGAAACTCTAATCAGTGACAGCAGCTTTCAAAATTGTCTATTCCTAGTTGACAGGACTGTCTGACATAAGCACTGCACTCTAAACAGGTTAAAATGCAGGCTGGTTGTCAGGACGGGGTGGCACACAGGGGCACTCCAGGGTGGCCATGGGAAGCCGCTGCTCAACACGGAGCACTCACACCGCCCTGACCCAAGACCCGCAAGTCCCAGGAGCGACCGCGGTGACGGAGGAGTCCCTTTGGCGGGGAACACTTCTCCGCGTGAGCCATGCCCGGGGCAGGCCTGACGCTTCCCGAGCGCCGGCAGGGAAGCCCGGGCCA